GGAGGTGGAGCCTAGCAGGAGGAGGAGCCTAGCAGGAGGTGGAGCCTAGCAGAAGGTGGGAGCCTAGCAGGAGGTGGAGCCTAGCGAGAGGTGGAGCCTAGCGGGAGGCAGTTAGGTGATTGGGGCGGGGCCCAGAGGTAATCCTTGAGCCCCAGCTTTTTCCTCTCTCCTCTCTGCTTCCTGGCCCTGAGGGATGGCCAGTTTGGCTCTGCCCTGGGCTCCTGCCAGCAGGGACTGGGACGTCCTAAACAGGTCCCAAGAGTAAACCTCTCTTTCCCTCGAGGTGCTGGGGGACCCAAACCAGGCCCTCATGCATTCTAAATACACACCCTTCCACTGAGTGACACTCTTATCCCCAACCTTTTCTCTTTATAAGTTAATGATCTCAGGGGTTTTGTTATAGCAGCCGAAAGCTGACTAATACAGATGGACTTTTTTTTTGGTACTGGGCATTGAACCCAGGGGCACCCACCCCCAGCCCTATTTTGTATTTTATTTAGAGACAGGGTCTCCCTGAGTTACTCAGGGCCTCACTAACTTGCCGAGGCCAGCCTCCAACTTTCAATCCTCCTTCCTCGGCCTCCCAAGCCGCTGGGATGACAGGGGAGGGCCACCATGCCCCGCTCTCATTTGAGATCACAATCAGTATCTCTGTGTGGGAGCCATTCTGAGTTGGGGTTCGTGTTATTGGCAGTGTAAACACAAAGAACTGAATCCGGCCTCTCCCTGAATGAACTTGGGGGGTAGATTCTTCCCCAGAGCCTCCAGATGTGAGATTTTGGCCTTGTGAGAGCCCAAGCCGAGGACCCAGCCAAGCCTGCCCGGACTTGCGGCCTCCACAGCTGTGAGGTCATGGATAGGGTCATTTCAAGACACTTCATTTCTGGGTGTTTGTTGTGGTTGTGATAGAAACCAAATAGAACCACCCAGACAGTCCCACCCCATCTGTGTGGTCAGCAGGACGTGGATGATTATCCCCCCTGGCAGTGACCAGCCATGGGGTTCCAGGGAGGAGAGGGGCGGGGCCTGAAGTCATGGTGATGAGCCTTTCCCTTTGCCAAGGATCCGGTTTAGAAACAGGTAGAAAGAGTCTTTTTTTTTTTTCTGTCTCTGGATATGGCAGTGATGGCTGGGGCCATGGCAGCTATTTTGTGACTATGCAGGGGGTGGACCATCTGGACAGGCGTTCAATGAGGTTGCACAGATCAAGTGCTTGGCTCAGTACCTCAGGCCCAGCAGGTGCTTAGAAATCCATGGCCTGTGTTTCTGAGTCAGTGCTGCCCCCTCCTGCCTCCCAAGCAGGATATCCATTTAGAACCATGCCTAGCTCTGGGTGGAGGCTGTATTATTTATTTTGGGGGGTACAAAGGACTGAACTCAGGGGTGCTTAACCCCTGAGCCCCATCCCCAGCCCTATTTTCTATTTTATTTAGAGACAGGGTCTCGCTGAGTGGCTCAGGGCCTGGCTAAGTGGCCGAGGCTGGCCTCCACCTTTCGATCCTCCTGCCTCAGCCTCCTGAGACGCTGGGATGACAGGCGTGTGTGTTCTCTTTTATGTGGAAGCCAGGAGCTTGCTTCAAGGCCTATGTGGATCCCCTGAGATCAGCTCTCTTAATAGACACCTGCAGAATACCCCACAGCAACCATAGATCAGTGTTTGAAGGAACCACCGGAGCCTGTCCCCCAAGGTGGCTCATCAAAAGACGGCCACCCTCCCTGGCCTCTGGTTTTTTTTTTTTTTTTTTTTCTGGCACAGACGGGAGTTGTCACTGGTGTTTGGCCCTCAGAGCAGGCCAAGCCCTCCCCGGGAGCTCCTGGGGTTTGCCCAGAGTGGCTTCCTCTTTTAAAAAGGATGTTTCCTGAACGAAGAAGCTCGCAGGAAATAGGAGACCGGCTGAGAATTCAGAGAACAACAGGAGGAAGAGCCAAAAATAAATCACCGAGAGGGGACCGTGGGGGACAGTCCTCGGGGGTCCTCTGGGCTGCAGAGCATCCTCATTTTTTTTTTTTTGGTCCCAGGGATGGAACCCAGGTCCACTTAACCCCTGAGCCCCATCCCCAGCCCTTTTTCTATTTTATTTAGAGACAGGGTCTTGCTGAGTGGCTTAGGGCCTGGCTAAGTGGCTGAGGCTGGCCTCCAACTTGCGATCCTCCTGCCTCAGCCTCCCGAGTGGCTGGGAGGACAGGCCTTCTTTCCATAGAAGCCACACGCTCCTGAAAACCGCTTCGTGCAGCTGAACGCAGCGGCGCACACCTGGGATTCCGGCCACTCGGGAGGCTGAGGCAGGAGGATTGCAAGTTAGAGGTCAGCCTCAGCCACTTGGCAAGACCTCGCCTCCCATCAATAAGTAAATAAGTGGAGCTGGGGAGAGAGCACTCCTGGGTTCGATCCCCAGGAAAGGAAAGAGAGAAAGAAAGAAAAACAGCCGGGCGCACGCTTGTCAACCCAGTAGCTCAGGAGGCTGAGGCAGGAGGATGGCAAGTTGGAGGCCGGCCTCAGCAATTTAGATCCTAAGCAACTCAGGGCGACCCTGCCTCAAAATTAAAAAAATAAAAAGGGCTGGGGAGGGGGCTCGGTGGTCAAGCACCCCTGGGCTCAATCCTTGGACAAAAAAAAATAGGTTCATTCTTC